TCTTTAGACATTGACATGTTCACCTTTCAATGAACCTAAAATAAGTAATTACAAACATATGTGTTTGATGACCAGAAGGAGCAGATTAAGTAGGGCTCTTTGTTTTTACTGTTAGAAAACAGAATTAGTATTAATTTTCTAGTTTTTAAGCAACATTTAATGCAGCTAACCTGACTTCAGATTTTTTATCTACAGCTTATTAACCCCAAGGTCTATTTAACGTATTTAAATTCGTATTTACACATTAAACTACTCTGTAGTTGATAAAAACTCTATGATATTGTCCTTTAAGTAACTCATTATTGTACTTAAAATTATAAACATATTTAATTAAAATTCTGATTTCGACAGTTTTTGTTCAGTTGATCAAATTAAAAAAAAATAGGTTTTGCGAATTAACTTTTTTTATGGAATAAGATGACGAGCGAGCACATAGCCCAACTGACGGTAAGTGGATGCTGTGTGCTCGATTAAGGACCAAAATGTGGATGCGTTGTCACCCCTGAGGACTGAGATGGAATGCCTTTTATCCAGTAAGAAGGGTCTTCGGTTCTCTATACTCAACATACGAAACACAGCAGCAGTGAGATGCTATTTTGAGATGGATGATTCTGTGAGAGCCTCGTCCTTCCCCAATCGAGCAGCATGTCTCTAACAGGTGAACAATTATTGTTATTTATTCATAAAAGTACAATCATATTAACTTATGATTGTACTTTTATGAATGTACTTTAAGCACAGATAAAAATAATAAGTACAACGTTTGAATTAGGATTTAGATTTTATTTACCTGATATTCAAGCACCTAATAAATAAATACAAAAGTCAAACTAAATCTTCAAATCATCTAACCTATTTACCAAAGCAGCAAGCATTTGCTTAATGTTGAAATTATCTCTAATTTAAGGTATTATTATATTTCTTTTGATGTTTTATCGTTTACAGACTATCTAAACTTTAAATTTATTAAATAATTTATCGGAGTTTGAATATATCCTTAGTTTAACATATTAATTTTATGGCTTAGCTTAAGGACGCGTTTGCAAATCAACCAAAATTAGGGTGTTTTTCGGTAGATTTTGTGACAAAACTAAACCAAATCAAATATAAGTAAAAACTACCATGTATAGATTGGTTCTTCATCTGCAAATGTCTGTAACTCTTTTGTTGAAAATAGTAGTTTTTTATATTGTAAAAACGAACTTTCGTTGCCATTTTCTACAAAATTAACGATACCGGCTTGTGTTTCGGTAGATGTTTTGGTCTATTATCAACATATTTAAAAATTTAAAAAATACTATAAGATGACAGACATATTCAATTAAAAAAACCCTGTGTTTATTTTTTAACAAAATGTCACAAATAGTCGTAAAAAAAATAAAAACTGATGCACATTTTTTCACATATTTTGGTAATATGGATGAATCATAATGTATTGCAATAAGGGCTATTTTATTGTTGGTGCCTGCTTTGATTTATTGTACAAAGATTTCGATGAAACCACAGTCCGCGCTCGGCCGCCGTCGTGAGTGGACACTGTATCGCCTGTTTGCAGCGGCTCATTCTGAAAAGATCGCTGTACATACACAAAATATTAGAAAAAAACAAATTGGAAACATAAGTACTTGACAAGTGATAAAATTATTATTTTTATACTCACAGTTTTTATTTAGCTAAAAATAAGTAGGATATATAAACTTACCTACTACTGCAACTCGTGGACGAGCGGAACTAGGTGTGCCGAGTTTGGGCTCGTTTTGTTGGTTATGATGAGACCTTACCTCTGGACTTGATGGCATGACCTGAAGGTGTACTTTCGTGACCGCTATTTGAACTTCTTGCAGAGTAAAACTAGGGGTGACGAATTTGGGCTCCGTTTTGTTAGTTATGACGAGTCTATACCTCTGGACTTGATGGAGTGACCTGAAGGTCTAAATCGGTGATTGCAACTGGAACTCCTAGACTGGTAGAACTAGGTGTGCCGAGTTTGGGTTCGTTTTGTTAGTTACGATGAGACCTTACCACCGGACTTGATAGAGTGACCTGAAGGGGTAATTCAGTAACTACTGCTGGAATTTCTGAACGAGTAGAACTAGGTGTGCCGAATTTGGGCTTCGTTTTGTTAGTTATGACGAGTCCATACCTCCGGACTTGATGGAGTGACCTGAAGGTGTAGTTCAGTGATTACAAGTGGAACTCCTAGACTTGTAGAACTAGGTGTGCCGAGTTTGGGTTCGTTTTGTTAGTTACGATGAGACCTTACCACCGGACTTGATTGAGTGACCTGAAGGTGTAATCAGGTGGTTACAAATGGAATTCCTAGACTAGTAGAACTAGGTGTGACGAGTTTGGTTTCGTTTTGTTAGTTACGATAAGACCTTACCACCGGACTTGATGGAGTGAAATTCGGCACACCTAGTTCTACTGGTTCACAAATTCCAGCAGTAGTTACTGAATTACCCCTTCAGGTCACTCCATCAAGTCTGGTGGTTAAGGTCTCATCATAACTAACAAAACGAACCCAAACTCGGCACACCTAGTCCTACAAGTCTAGAAGTTCCACTTGTAATCACCGAACTATACCTCCAGGTCACTCCATCATGTCCGGTGGTAAGGTCTCATCATAACCTACAAAACGAACCCAAACTCGGCACACCTAGTTCCACCAGTCTAGGAGTTCCAGTTGCAATCACCGATTTACACCTTCAGGTCACTCCATCAAGTCCGGAGGTATGGACTCGTCATAACTAACAAAACGGAGCCCAAATTCGGCACATCTAGTTCTACTCGTTCAGAAATTCCAGCAGTAGTTACTGAATTACCCCTTCAGGTCGCTCCATCAAGTCTGGTGGTAAGGTCTCATCATAACTAACAAAACGAACCCAAACTCGGCACACCTAGTTCTACTAGTCTAGGAGTTCCACTTGTAATCACCGAATTACACCTTCAGGTCACTCCATCAAGTCCGGTGGTAAGGTCTCATCATAACCAACAAAACGAACCCAAACTCGGCACACCTAGTTCCACTAGTCTAGGAGTTCCTATTGTTGTAATCACCAAATTACACCTTCAGGTCACTCCATCAAGTCCGCAGGTAGGTAAGGTCTTATTATAACTGACAAAACCAGTTCAAAGTCCAGAGCTAACATCTCACTACCAGTAGAGGGCTTCCAGTGCCAAGCAGTCTTTGGAGCAGGTATTCATATTTCGTATCGAAGTATATTTCTGAGGTAGGTATAAGAAATGAAAAATACATTCAATCTTTCAAATTATCAAAATAATTTCATTTGACTACGATTCCCACAGCCAACCGTGCGTACACTAGTGTGTGTGTGACTTTTGTCAATGTAGTAGTGCGATTCTATACCTATCCATTTTGTAAACGCGTCCTTAAGTAAATACGAACAGTTTCTTGATCTTATCTAATCCTACATTAATATTATCACTATCTTCATATATATATGAATACGGATATCTGAATTTGTATTTAATTGATGTTATAAAATTGATGGTTTATGTATAAAACTAGTTTTAATGGAATAATGAAGCAATCTTTTTCCATGAAATTATGTAAGAGAACATGCGGTTGTTTTTAATTTATATCGACCTTGGTTACTTACTTTATTCGCATTTATTGTACTGAAAAGGCTCTTAATATGATGTAATTAAATAATTACTTTTTTGTTATAAATTAAAATTCGTTGACCGTTTCCATAACTTAACGCTATGTAAAGCAATTAAGCATTTATATATTTAATCACTTAGTTCAATGTGTTAAAATATGAAATTAATAATGTATAATATGTAGTTAAAAATGTATCCTCGTGTCGTAGAGGTAGATTTACACGTTACAAAACAAGCTTTCCCATCAAACGTTTGTACAAATCTGTCAAGTTCCATATGCTCTCAATATTTTTTACAATAAAACGGAAACGGAAAGACAAGAGCTTTAATCTCTCTCGTTTTAAAAACATAAGCCTTCTCTCTCGCTCCTTCCTACTTTTTTAGGTTCCGTAACATCTTGATGTTTCATCCATAAATAAAGTTATTAGAAATTATAACATAATAAATGTAATTCTGTTTTAAAAATTTTGTATTATTAAGAATTGGATCGCATATTAAGTGTGGGCTTACCACGTGTTCGGCGATAAAATTACACTGAGGAAAATTGCAGGTTTACGTAAAAAAATATTTTGAGAACACGTTGTCGTTCTTAAGTAAGCGAAATTTTTGCTAACTCTTGTGTAGCAAAAAAAAAAAAAAACTCTTAATGAGACTAAATATGTGCTTAGCAATAGGATATTTATAGCCTGTTACTTTAAGTTAAAAAGTTACAGCCTATATACCTCCCTTTGCTGGGCACAGGCCTCTTCTCAATTCTGAGAGGTTTTTAGGGCAAGAAAATGTAGTTGTAAAGTAAATTAACAGGCTGGGGCTGTTTACTTTACTATAATTATAATCTGAAATTATATATATGATTTTTATGATTCTTCCTTAGTTTTATTAAGTGTACATATTTACACACGGAGATATGTCTCCTAAGTGTTTGTAAAAAGAAAAGTGCTTTCCATATTTAGGAAAAGAAATATTATTATGTATATCTTTTATGAAAATTGTCAACCGAACTTACAGTCCACCTGATGGTGGCTACTGAAGTCTATGGTCACCATGTCATGTCATACCAGCCAACTTCAAACAATGAAGACTACAGATCGGTTATCAGCTCTGAGGATTTGGATGTGATGCCCCACAGTCTGTAGCTGGAAAACAACGGTGTAGACAATTAATTAAACAACTAATTAGCGGAAATATATGTTTATCACAACTAAAGCGTGTTTCTTTCATGCTTTATTTCGCATATATTAGATATTTTTAAGAATTGCATTTTACTTGCTCTTAGTTCGAAAAGTTCTGGTACAGATAGAACATTTAAAAAAGACACCTAGACGCATGAAATTATTTATTCATTTTACATTATAATAATTTAAAAAAAAATTTATTTATTTAGAGCTACTGAACCGCGGCTTGTTATGATAACTTAGGCCTGACTGTTCTTTTCTGGGAACAAAATTATATTCGCAGGTTTGTGAGCACAGATTGTGTTCGTCCGCCACCTGCTTGGGTGGAAAAAATGTGAACAACTGACGATCACATGGTGCATCGATCGTTACAGGTTTCTGATTGTGGTGTGCTATGTTCGGTGCACTGTTCGCAAACTAAAAAGTTTGAATTTTATGTAATTTTTTACATCATTAATTTTGATCTTTTAGTATAAGCGGTTTATCACTTATAAGAAAACGCTTCATTATATTAATATCATTTGTGTTTAATAATAATATGCTCAGAATTTTATAAATGGTAAATTTAAAAATATTTTATTAATTATTTAAGTTTTACCAGCCGTAATCGGCGACATCTAAAAGTTTTAGTTGTAGCCGGCTAAACCTATGTGTAACCGGCGTTCGGCTTTTAGCCATGACATATAGGTAAAGATATTATACATCTGCACGATTATGAAAATGGACGGAGATTGTGTTTTGTGTTTGTGAATTGAAAATGTTTACTCCAGACCTAATATTTTAATAAAATAGACTAGTTCAGTCCAATCGTTTTTTTTTTCAACACATTTGCTTATTAATGAGTCCATTGTTGCATATTCTTCTTTGCAGGGAGGATTTACCGTTATCGCCAATCTTGGCAGGCGAATTGGCGATCGTAAAACGTATCGCATGTTCGAATCTACTCCTCTTCGCCGGCCAGGATATTTAACATTTGGCATATAATATGAAATGGTTTTTTATAGAAGAGGGGCAAACGAGCATGCGGCTCATCTGATGGTAAGTGACTACCGCCGCCCATGATCAACTGCAACGCCAGGTAAATTGCAGGTGCGTTGCCGGCCTTTTAGAAAGTAGTAAGTTTTTTTTCTTGAAGGTCCCTAAGTCATATCGATCCGGAAATATCGCTTTGGTAAACAATTCCACAGAGAGGTTGTACGAGGTAGGAAACTCGTAGTAAAACGCACAGTGGTACATCACCAAGCATCCAGATGGTGTGGATGGTCTCGTGAATTATGACGCGATGTGCGTTCGTGAAATTTAGGGGCTAAAATTATAGATGCGTGATAGAAGCGATAGTAAACGCAAAGGGATGCAACATTCCTTCGCAGCGCCAGTGAATCGAGCCGATCAGAAAGAACTCGGTCGTCGACGATTCGAGTCGCTCTGCGCTAAATGCGGTCAAATATAAGGATTTGGCAATGGGGTGCCCCGGCCTTTATTTCACTATCGGCCGTTATTCCTCCATCTACCGGAGGCGGAGCGTAATGTTAATTTTAACTTTAAATTCTGAGATAACTACGAGTACGATAATACGTACGTTAGTGCGATGACACTTCTTACATGCAACATATATTTTGAGGACATGTTAGTGACGTGGATGGAGTCTTTCTAGCCGCAGCAAATTCTGAGGAGTAGAAGGTCTGTACCATGTACATCAACATCACATATAAACTGCCTATACCACTTTTATTTACAGGTCTTGGGTACATACTTGTGTTGTAATTTATAAAGTACGTAAGTATCTTGTAATAAACAAATAATACATAGAATCCGAATGGGCGCGTCTGACCCATTCAGGTGTTCCTAATTTTTTGTTTGTCCTCCAAGACACAACCACTATATATTATTAATAATAGGTCCATACATATGAAATTGACGTTTTGTACGGGAGGAATATAAAGTCAATATTTTTTTGTAAAATATATTTAATTAATCAAAGTATGCACCGTCGTTATCTATGCACTTTTGCCATCTCAAAGGTAATTCATTGATCCCCTTACTATAAAAAAACATGGGGCCGACAATCAATAAACTCTTTGATGGCCGTTTGGACTGCCGCATTGGAGTTGAATTTTTTTCCTTGTAAGAATTCGTCCAAATTCCGGAAAAAATGGTAATCTGTTGGAGCAAGGTCCAGGAAGTACGGTGGATATCGCAGACACTCCAATTGTAGCTCATCTAACTTAGTGGTTGTTTGTTGTGCAATGTGGGGTCTTGCGTTGTCGTGAAGCAGCAGTGGCCTAGAGCGGTTGACCATACTCGGTTGTTTAGCAGCTAGTTCTTCCTTCATGGTTCGCAGTTGCTGACAAAAGATATCTGCCGTAATCGATTGGCCAGATTTGAGAAAGCTGTAGTGAACGACACCGGCACTAGTTCACCAAACATTTACAAGTAACTTTTTCTGAGTCAATTTTCGTTTAGGGCAGGATTTGGCTGGGTCTTCAGGGTACAGCCATTACGACGAGCGCTCCCGATTATCGTACAGTATCCACTTTTCATCACAAGTAATGATTCGATTTATAATCCCTTCATTTTTGTGTCGGTTGAGCAAAGTAACCCAGCAGTCGACGTGTGTTTGCAAGTTCGATTCACACAATTCATGAGGTACCCATCTTTCAAGTTTTTTTTTTACTTTACCAATTTGCTTCAAGTGGAATAATACAGTTTTATAACTTACCCCAAAGCCTGCAGCTATCTTTGAACCTTTATGATGTATCCGCTTACACAATAGCCTTTAATTCTTCATTTTCCACTTTGGCCTCCGGCCGTCCACGGGGTTAGTTGTGAAGGTCGAAATTTCCAGAACGAAAACTTTGAAACCAAAAACGTACAGTGCTTTCTTATCACACATCATTAACCCTTCAAGCTGTTTCCGCAACACTGGTGCCACGGTAGAACTCATACTCGTAAATATACCGATATTTCATGTTTTCCATTGTGTGGTAATAAGCGACACAAAAGAAAAAAAATGAGGAAAAACCAAAATAAATGACTGTTATCAAAACTCAAATGTACCAGCTAAATGAATTTATAAATTTGAATTTGGAATTCTTAATCAAAGAGGAGATATTTCAGATCAAAGTGGTCAGTACGACAAAACGCTAATTTCATATGTAAGGCCCAATATAAATGTACTTATGGTATCGTTAGAAGCCTTGAAGAGTCCACTTCTGGATATGGACTTTTTAAACCATCCATCAGATGTCAACCATTATTTGTTTTTCCTATACTCTTATTGAGTGCAAAACTAATACTGAATGTGTTTTTGCCATAAGTCTATTCACAAGAGCCTATTAACTTCTAATAATAACTTATTATAATGTAGCTCGTGTCAAGGACGCTTTTTAATTTTGAAAGTTTAACAAAAATTGCAATAATGAATACAAATTAATACAAATTGAGTCATTTATAAGCATAGTCATAAATACATAGTCTACAATCTACATCAAAACTTTAAAAAAATCTTATAAAAAATATAAAACATTAAAACCGAAATTTTACAAAATTGTCTCGTGAACATATTTTATTCCAATTATTCAAATTCGCCAATGCCAGTGGCTAAATACCAGTTGCGTTTTATTACGTTTATATATAATAAGAAAAAAAAATGATTATTGCATAATTATTAATTTTAAGATGTCTTAAATTATGAATAAAACAAGTCAAAGAATTAGTGAGGGCATGTATTCTGTACCTATTTATTTTACAGCAATCTAAGTACATACTAGTGACTTAAGGTTGCGATATTATGTATTTTATATTTATTTTTATAATTTTTTTAAATATAAAAATGTATATGGTAAACGAACTTACGGTCCACCTGATAGTAAGTGGCTATTGCAGTCTATGGACGTCTGGTAAGAACGTAGATACCACCAGACGAAATAGAGAAGAAGATAGGTAACGCTTTCTTACCTATATACAGATGGAATTCTCAGCACAAAAGGTGTCCAGCCATTTAGAAAGTTGTCTATTAGCGCTAACAATTGTAGAAAATAAACATAGCGAAGTTGTTTTTTTTATATTAGGTCAACATAAACATTAGTGTGCTGTATAAAGTTGAATCTTAAAAGTACTTTCAAAAAACGTTGGTTTTATATTAACGTCACAATTAATGAAATCATTGACACTCGTTCCCTCTTTCACCTGTGAGATTGTTGTGTATACGCATCTTAAATTTTCCTCTTGGTTCTTATCACAAATTTATTATAACGAGAAGATGGTGATCATATAGAATGTGCGCGATGGTAAGAGGAAGAGTGGAAGTAGTTGTCCTGAAGTGAGATTACCAGTAGGCGGCCGGTGCCTGTGAGGTAGTGGCGGCTGATGCGTTGTCATGGCTCTACTAATACGCGTCGAAGTTCGAACGCTGTAGAATTTAAGACGACGAGAGCCAGAGATATCTCGTCCTTGAGCCGTAGATTTCCCGTTCTTTAGCCGAAGATCTTTCTGCATATAAGCTTTTCGATATTTATTGCAATGGTGCGGCACAAGCTATCATGCTTGTCGAAGTAGCATACTTTTTCTTAGTTAATAATATGTCCAAATAATGTCCGATGCATCGCTTGTAGGATAAATTTGGCAGACTTAGAAGCAGTGACAGTAAATACGGAATCAATTAGAAATCATCCATGTGCGAAAATTGGAACACAGTTTTGCACAAATATTTCTTTTATGATGAAATTCTAACCCAACACTCGAGACTCAATAGCTGTGGTCTCTCAACCCTAAGCCATGTGGTCGATAGATGAAAGTTATATTAGTCTGAACAACAATATGTTGGAATTTTCTGTTGTTTTTACTAACATCGTTTTACTGCGTCTCGTGGGAGAGCGCAATGTAAACACGCCCATAGTTGTTGTCCCAGCATATCGTGGTGATGGATCACCCGCCGAGGCAATGACCCCGGCCGCTTGACAAATTACCGATTAGGGTAAACAAGCCAATTGCCTGTTACACGACAATTTTATAGGTTTTTTAAACGCAATCCAGAATTTATAAATCAGGTAATTTTTTTTAACGATACACTTTGAGGACGGATAACTGCTGAAAATCATAAATACATAATTTTTAATTTTGGCTGTCTTTATATTGAAGTACAAAAATATATCAAAAGTGGGCGAGGGTAGAGGCTAGGTCCTGATTTCGAATCCCGGGCCGGGCCAAAAAAAATCAATTATTGAGTTTTTCATCAAGAAATTCTCAGTAACTGCCCGGAGTCAATAAGTTGACGGTGTCTCACCCCCGTGCCTCGGAAAGCACACGTAAAGCCGTTGGTCCTGCGCCTGATCTCTTCCCGGTCGTGTCAGTTTACCGTCGCATCGAATTATGAGAGTGAGGGAATAGAGAGTGCACTTGTGCTTGCGCATACACTTGGGCACTATAATTATGTCCTGCGCCGATGGCTAGTCTTCGTTGAGGCTGGTCGCCGTGACCGAAATTTGGTCTGGAGGACACTATTATAATTATTATTTTATTTTTATAATTGGTAGAGCCACGATGTAGTTATATTACGGTTGTAGTACGAATGGGTCGACTCAACCGGGGAAGGACCACGCTCTCACAGAATACCAGCGTAAAATAGCTGCTTAATACTGCTGTGTTTCGTATGGTGAGTGTAGAGAACCGGAGACCCTTTATTACTGGAAACGAGGCATTCCATCTTAGTCCTCAGGGGTGACAACGCATATGTGTTTTGATTTTTAATCGAGGAGAAATGTAGATGTCTATGGGCTACAGCATCCACTTACCATCAGGCGGACTGTGTGCTCGTTTGTCACCCTTATTCTCTAAAAAAAACTATATCCAGCAACGACTTCAGGAGCTATTATGTACAAAACTATCACCTCTGTTCTTCAAATGTTTTGAAGCCGATTATTACTTTTTATTTATTTTAGAGCCGTGCTAGCTCAGATGGTTAGCGCTCGCTGTAAATTACACAGTACGCAACCAACCCGGGTTCGATCCCCGTCGGTATCAATAAAATTGTTAATTGCAATTTTAAGTGCTGATTTACCACGTGTTCGACGGTGAAGGAAAACATCGTGAGGAAACATGCATGTCTGAGAAATAGGATAAACAAATATTGCGCAGACATGTGAAGTGGTCCAACACGCATTAGGGCAGCGCGGCGGACACTTCCTTGTCCTAAATACCTCTTAAAAATGAGAGGAGGGCTGTGTCCAGCTGTGGGACAACCTTGTATGGACTGTAAATTTAACTTTATTATTTTTTATTAAAAGTTATATTTTTCAATTCAAGGTTTATTCACCTAAGATTATCTAACAACTCATAAATAAATATTATTCATTATTAATCACTTCATGTAAAAACTTGCTTAATATTATTAGAAATAAAAATTTTAACTCTCAGAGGATCGGAATTCGCTATAAGGTTGGTTTTCTTAAACTTGTCTCCAGTCACTCCTTTTCAAAAAATGTAACAGCTTTATAATGTTAGAAATGAAAAAATGGACCACTGGCCGTCTCTACCTTGCTTTGTGAAGACTGGCCAAGACCGCTTGGTCATCACAACTTTGCCACAAGTTTTGGCCTAGTGAAAAAACTAAATACTTCGTGTCGCTGTCGCACTCCGCGTATGCCCGATTTACATTATCTTAGTGTTTAGCAGAGTGCTTTAGGATAGTACTTTAGATGAAACATGTAAACGCTACTTGCTTTAGTACGGTTCTACATGACTTTTTTTTTCAAGTGATACCTCCCGCGCCCGCGCAACCCCCGGCGCGTCACTCAGCACTAATCTGTGCACTCAGATCTTCCCTCGTTGTGCGTAAACACGTAATTTAGTAAAATCTTTAGGAGAGTGCACAAGTGCCGTGAAACGCGTGCGTGTTTTTTGATTTTTAAAGATGGCTAAATGGTCGGAAGATACAACTATCAAATTTGTGTCTGAATATGTTGTTCACGAATGTTTGTGGAACGTTAAAAACAATTTATACAAAAACAAACAGGCTAGACATTCGGCATATACTGCCTGAACAAAATTACTAATCAATGCAATTTTGTTCAACGTCTACATAAGAATATTTCATTGTTTCAAAGTATCAAAGTTATTTGATTTATTATTAAAGTTTTATAAAGTTATGTGACAAAATTACCCAATTTCAAGTATTAAAGTTATGTGATTTAACACGATGTTTTATTTGCTCACCTGTATAAATTCCTCCAAAGCATTGTAGATGGCATTACAAGTTACAGGAATCATTAACGAAAGGCTAGATTTAGATATTCTGAAAAAATTAGATAGGCTCCTCAAATTATTTCCTGTTGCAAGCATATAAATAATTGCTTGGAGTTTTATTTTGGCCGGTATTGCACTCCTCATGTGAGTATCATTTTTTTCTATAGCAGGCCTTACTTTGTTTAGTAACCAATTGAAGGATTCTTCTGTCATTCTCATCGAATCGCGATATTCTTTAAGATCTTCAATAGCCAGTTCTTTTAACAACAAAGAACTTCCTCCAAGCATTGATCTGCGACTAATCCATTGACGCTCCCACATTCCTTTCGGTTTATTTATTTCGAATAAAATCTCGTCTTCTATTTGTTCCATAACTACAGTCAGTATTTTGCGTAGAATAGAACGTATTTGCCGACGTCGTTGCGCGTTCATTGTGGCGCTGTAATGATACTCTACTGGAAGAAATGTAAACGTTCACTCGCAACGCACTAAAGCACTAAAGAACTTGCCTTTGCAAGTTGTACTAAAATACTCTCCTAAACACTAAGATAATGTAAATCGGCCTGTAGTTATGTTTGTATTGAAAGAGAATCGAGCGTTAATAAATTTATCTTAGTGACTTGTAATATGAAATCTATTGGTAGAGTAGAAATTTCATAAACGCTCTGTAAGATTAGTTTCGCTATTCGACCATATTTGGCGGTAATTAAAACGGTACTACTGCTTATATTTTAAGACGTTGGTCAATGTCCGGTAGATTCTACATAAAAGACGTATTTGCGCTATAAGGTACGCTAGAATGGCTCCAACTGTCAATGTATAATACTCATATTTCTTTTAGACTTTATACTTAAGAGTAGCTCCGTTGCTCATGACGAGGTTAGATCTTTTCTAATACGCAAAGAACTTTTAAAATAATAAACATTTAATATCATTATCACCATCAGTTTATACACTCTATCGGTACACAAGGGCCGTGGTAGCTCAAATTAAATACATAGCACAAGGGAAAAATACAATGGCTGCGTTTGGCAGAAAAATAGGGGTTTTGTATTTTTTTAAGTATTCGATGATTTTTAAATCATTTTTTTGATTTGAATGGGGTTAGTTCTGTTTTTTGCACCCAACATAATATCATAATCGAGGACAGGTGTAGATGTTTGTGTGCTGCAACATCCACTGACCATAACGTGGACTGTTGCTTGTTTGTCAACCTTATTCTGTAAAAATAAAATATTAAACCTAATTTAATAACAGCGTGTAGCTTGACCTTGTCAAGTCGATAGTAGGTAAAGCCCAATGACTATATAACCACTGTGGTTATATTCTCTATGGTAAAGCCGAACCTTTTTTTTAACCAACTTCGTGTTCGAGATGTGGAACGGAATAAAAAATAAATCAAAGGCTAAGCCAATATATATAACTAAGTATTTCGTTTTGTTTCCAAAATATTAACAATTTCCCATTGTAAAATTGAAATTTTTATTACTGATTTACCGCGTGCTTGGCTGCGAAGGAAAAGCCGGTCCTAAACTGTGAAAGCCTAAATGCTTACTGTAAAACGCGAGCTACTCTGGTTCGATATTCGGTAGCAACAATGATAATGACAATCGCTGTGTAAGTGCTGATAATTTACCACGTGTTCGGCGGCGAAGGACCACAATCGTGCGGGAGACCTGCATGTCACGCTGGCAGTTTCCTAATTATTTAATTAAATATTTCAAGGACAGTCCACGCCGGACTGATTGCTTTTTTATAGAATAACGGTGACAAACGAGCACACAATCCAGCTGATGGTAAGTGGATGCTGTGGCCCATAGACATCTACATTTATCCTCGATTAAGAATCAAAACGCAGATGCGTTGTCACTCCTAAGGACTAAGATGAAATGCCTCGCTTCTAGTAAAAAAGGGTTTCCGGATCTCTTCACTCATCATACGAAACACAGCAGTATTAAGCTGATATCTTACATTGGTATTCTGCATCATAACCCTCGCAGAAATGAGAGAGGGCACGTGCCCAGCTGTGGGTTGCAAAAAGATTTATACGTGGTAGAGCCACGCTGCAGCTATATTATGGTTGTAGCACGAATGGGTCGGCTCGACCGGGGAAGGACCACGCTCTCACAGAATACCAGCGCAGAATAGCAGCTTAATGCTGCTGTGTTTCGTATGGTGAGTGTAGAGAACCGGATACCCGTTTTGCTGAAATCAAGGCATCCCATCTTTGTCTTCAGGGGTAACAACGCATCTGCGATTTTAATCAAGGTTAATGCAAATGTCTGTGAGTCACAGCATCCACTTACCATTAGGTGGACAGTGCTCGTTTGTCACTCTTATCCTATAAAAAAAGACTGTTACATTACTTTTGCTTTACTTTTGCTACAAATAATACTTTTATGAGGTGTTATGTACTCTATAACTGCTTTACCTTGACCACCTATCTAAAGCCCACTGCTGATCATGCACATCCCAAAGAGGCTGCTCCTTAGGAGAATATTTGCCAGAGTCGGCTTAAAGCAAAGTAAAAATAAGTGAGAACATTTTTACGTCCAATTGTTAAGGGGAAATATAATGTCAAATGGCTTAGCAAGATCCTTCGTTATGCCGAAAATATTGCAGCATTAATTTTGAAATAAATATATGGTAAAGTTGAGGATTAATGTTAGTGATTATGTTAGACGAAAACACGATTTAGTAAAATTTTCTCGATAGAAAAAAAATCCAAAGTTACCTCCAAAATAAACAATAAACCGCTGTTATTCATAAAATACTTTAAATAAGATCATGAAACTTTGCATACTAACTGAACTAACTATAAAGCAGTGCTTATGTTGTTTACTTTTTTTAAAATACCATTATTTTCACTGTAAAAAGAAATTACCTAAACTATCGGCGTCTTGAGCTTGATTCCCGTCGTTCCGTTAGTATCGCTTAGGCTTTTGAAGGGAGAAGTTGTGTCGCTTACGATCAGAATATACATTACGCAACAGTACGACGTAAAATTAAAATGGGAAATAACCGTGATAAAAATAAGAAGCGGCTGGCTTGGCGTTAAGAAACAGGCATAAATATGATAAACCTAATGAAATAAGTGTCTAACGACCTTTCTACTTACAGTATTAGTGATTACAAATATTTCGGTACATAGCATACGACGCGCGGGGAAGTGGGGGCGAAATTAGAATTTGAGCTGACTTACTCTAACCTCTTAAGCACAGATCTTTTATTTTCTGAGGGGGATTAAGGGCAAGTAAGTGTTCGCTGTGCCGCCCTATTACGCCTCGATTAATAATATCATTGTTGTCGGCGGAGATCGAACCTGGGTTGCTCGCGTTTTAGGGCGAGTTCTTAGCCCTTGAGCTGCCAAAGCGACTATTAGTATGATTATTTAAGACTTAATTACCGGTTATCTATCAGTGAGTCTATTAAAACTTTATAATCGTAGCTTCCTAGGACTGAAGCTTCCTAGGCGTTTAATAACTATATAGATATTAAACGCCTAGGAAGATATTTTTATAGATATTTTTAAAACATTGGGAACGTGTTCTTTTAATATACACTCTTCATTTAGTCAATGGGCTTTGTAGATGACAGGGGATTCATAATGATTTAACCCTTTCAGACATTAATCATAACTAATTCATAAAGGGGTTGGCGCAGTTATTTTTAACTTGACAGGATTTATGTGACTTACGATTACTAATCTGTGATAAATAGATAAAGACATCCTGTCTTTATAAAATAACTGAATGAGCTATTATAATAAAACAATTGTTTTACGTGGTAGAGCCATGCCGCAGTTATATTACTAGTATAGTTGTAGCACGAACGAACTGTTTCGTATAGTGAGTGTAGAGAACCGGAGACCCTTTTTGTGGGAACGAGGCATTCCATCTTAGTACTTACAGGTGACAATGCATCTGCATTTTGATTCGTAATCGAGGTTAGATATAGGTGTCTATGGGCCACAGCAACCACTTACAATCAGGTGGACTGTGTGCTCATTTGTCGCCTTACCCTATAAAAAAATGCAATTGTATACACACGTACGAAGTGAAATTTCTTTACGACGTATAATTCTTCTTTTATTTTATATTTTAATAAGTAGGTTAAATAATAGTACATATACACATACAGCCCGGCGTTGAAACGTTACAAGAAAAAGTGACGTTTTTTATACTTTTAATACCATACTAAATTTCTCCAATAAGTTGATAAAGAAGTTTCACTTCAAAGAAATGGCATTTGTTGAACCCAATGTCAGTTCTCAGCAGTGCCAATTTCTTTTAGTCCAAAAAAGTCAATCGTTGCACGTCATGGGCTTTCCCCATTATTGATACACTTGAATCCCCTGGGATTGGCGGTTTTCACAATGGTTCGTGTTCGTACTCGTATTTTTACATCTATCATTTTTCGTAGCCGTTACGTCATCTAGGGTATCAGCACAGTATAATAAAGTATGGATTTATATATTGTGATATTAGTAACATGTTGACATTTAACCTATAATTCTTAATCAAAAATGAAATGAAATGAAAATCTTTGTACAAAAGTTAATTATCTTTTAATATGTATTCATAGCAAAATATTCCGCAACAACGTGAAAGATGATTTGTGAAAATATAGATAACTGAATCAGTTTAATGGGACGTTATCCCTAAAATTCTGTGGAGAGTAGATATGTTAAGATATGGTAAGAAGGAATATGGATGTGACTGCAATATGGCTGCAGCACGAATGGATAAGCTCGACCAGCCTCGAAAAAAACACGCTGTCACAAATTACCAACTATATAAAAATAGCAAATAATGTTCCCGGTTTGAATAGCGAGGCATTCTATCACATGCTTTATTCCTGTATTCAAGAAACGTGTCATTCTCCGTAACGATCTGTTTTATTACATATGAGGTGCATGTAAAAACAGTTTTGATATTTCGAACTGTTCCTTCAGTAACTTAGGATGATTTAAGAAGAATATTTTAATGGTTCATAAATAGTTGAACTGGTATTTTGTTTTTAAAATAGGGTTTTCATGCACCTTATTACTGCAAAGCGACTGTTAAAATAAAACCAAGCGTTTAAAGATATAAAAGCCTAAAATTAATCTTCAAGGGCAGACAACGCATATCTGTGTTTTTATTCGTAATTGAGGATAAATGTAGACGCCTACGTCACTATTTACCATCAGGTGGGTTGTGTGTTTGTTTGCCGCCCCTATAATGCTAGATAGGTATCCTAGGACATGACACTTGAGAGTAAACGAAGTGTTTTCTACACGTTGAATATATTGTTTTTTACAACACTGAAGTGCTTAACGAACTCACAGCCTAACTTATAGTGAGTGGTTACTGCAGTCCACTTGCAGCTAA